TGGCCGCCCTGTCCCCGGCCTGCGGTGGCCCCCAGGAACACGCGGGGGTCTGCCCAGGACCACATCCTATCAGAGCCGATACGCACCCCACACCTTTGCCCCTCTTCCTCCCATACATGTTGCGCGCAGGGCCAGGGGGACGCTGCTGCCGTCCCGAGACGGCACACAGCTTGGAAACTGTCCCGGACACGACTTTGCCTCTGGGTGTTCGAGGCTGCTCTTTTACCCTACACACTTCTCCAGGGGGAGACCTGTTCGGACACTTCGCTCCCTGTCTTCAAGCCCTGCACCCTCCACTCCTGAGTGTCGAGCATGTGCGCAGGAGCACTAGGACCCGGAGTCAGAGGGTCTCATTTTACCACGGGCACGCAGGAGAATGTGCAGAGCGAGAGGGAACCCGCAGGGCCCCGCGGGCTTTCGTGGGCTCCCCTCTCCGGGGCCCCTGGCCTGCGGGCTGGACGCAGGAGAGGCCTCGGAGAGCGAGGGAGGGCGGGAGCGGGGACGCGTTTGAAGTTCGGTCGGGCCAGCTGCTGTTCTCCGTAATAACAAGAGAGGAAGGAGGGAGGGAAAGATTGAAAGGAGGAGGGAGGGAGCAAGGAGGAGGAGCGGCGAGGGAGCTAGGCGGAGGGAGGAGACCTAACTGCCTCGCCGGCTTGCGTCACGGCCTCAGAGCCCAGAAGAGCGGCTGGGGAGCGCGGGGACTGAAGGAGGACCGGCGCGGGCCAGGCTCGCCCACCGCAGCCCTCCGCCCTGCTCCTCCGGCCTCCGCCTCGCCGCCCCGTTTCCCCGTTCGAGCCCCCATTCAGCCAGAGGAAGGAGGTAAGGGGAACTCTCTCCCCTCCCTCCTCGTAAAGCATAAAATAAAACTTCCGCAGCCCGGAGCGGGGCGCCAGGGCCTCCGCTGGCATGGAGCTATTGTGCTGCGAGGTGGACCCCGTGCGCAGGGCCGTGCCGGACCGCAGCCTGCTGGACGACCGCGTCCTGCAGAACCTGCTCACCGTCGAGGAGCGCTACCTGCCGCAGGGCTCCTACTTCAAGTGCGTGCAGAAGGACATCCAGCCCTACATGCGCAGGATGGTGGCCACCTGGATGCTGGAGGTAGGTCGCGGCCCGCGCGGGGACCCTGACCCCGGGCCTCCGTGGGGAAGGGACTTGGGGAGCGGCCTCCTGGGGCGGGGGTGGGGAGCGCCCTGCTCACCGTCGAGGAGCGCTACCTGCCGCAGGGCTCCTACTTCAAGTGCGTGCAGAAGGACATCCAGCCCTACATGCGCAGGATGGTGGCCACCTGGATGCTGGAGGTAGGTCGCGGCCCGCGCGGGGACCCTGACCCCGGGCCTCCGTGGGGAAGGGACTTGGGGAGCGGCCTCCTGGGGCGGGGGTGGGGAGCGCGCAGGAGCATTCTAGAGCCCCGGAAGTCGCCTTGAGGACGAACGTTTTAGGGGAGCCTTAGAGAACCTCTGTACCCTGCGCCCGATCTTTGCCGGTCGAGCAGAGCGCCCACGTAGACACAGCTCGGGACCTGCCGTGGTTTCGCCATGTTGCTTCGCAAACTCCAACTGGAGAAG